GACTGTGAGGTCAAAAAGGGGTGGGCAGCGAGGAATGAGAACAGGCATGTAGCTGTCTCTCAGGACCCCCAGGAAGCCCCACATTTCACCATGAGCATGCACTGTCTGTGAAGCTCTGGGGCCCCAGGGCAGGGAAAGGGAGGGGATGGAGCCTTGGGCTCTTTGCTGACTCTCCTGCTGTTTTTCTGAGATGGCGTCTTCATCTTTCCCTCCTGCCCCTGCCCTATCTGCCTCTACTAATGACCCCGTGTCACCTCGGACTGTGGCCCCTTCCAAACTACCCAGCTGCAGAGCCCAACCAAGTCGCAGGCCCAACCCCTTCCACCCAGCCTGCCCCAGCCTGCAACCCCAGACCCTTGCCTTGCCCCTCTGCCCTCGCGTGTCTCCCTCCAGCTCCGCCTGGACAGGAGACCAGGCCTCCCAGGGGTGCCCTGGGCCTTCTCTAAAGCAGGAGACAGACACTCCTGCAGACAAGAAGGGCGGACACTGGAGAGGGCAAAGGAAAGGGTGCACCGGGGCGAAGAAGCCAGCCGTACCAGAGGGGACACACAGGTTCCGGCCAGCTGGGGGGTGGGGTTGGAGGCATCCTGATGGGGCTGGACACAAATTGCTGTTGGTCTCTTGCTCCCCGGGGTCTTGAATTATACCCAGCTGCTGGGACCCTGGCCGGTGTGCTCGGCCACCGTGATCGACCTGCTGGGGGACATCCCTGGAACGTGCCAACCGGGAAGGTGGATCGTACCGGTGCATACTTCCCGGTCCTGCCCCAGTGGAATCCCTATCTCGGAGGGGTGGCTTGGGCAGCTGTTCTGGTTCTTGGGTCTCGGGGCAGCTGCCAGGTGCAAGCTCCTGGGCTGTGGCCGCCCCTCTGGCCCGACTGGGTCCACGTAGTGAACACGTCCTGGCTCCTTCATTCACATGCAGGAACCAAGAGGAGGGCATGCACGCACACAGGCGGAGGTGGCGATGCCAGAGAGCCTCAGCTCCAGGGCGGGGCCGCCAATGGTGAGGCGATGTTCCAGGAAGGGCCTTGGAAAGCTGACCCCACTGAAACATGGGTAGTGCAGGCTGTCGATGAGACCACTGGGGACAGAACCCAACTCGAAGGCATTGGGACAGAAGCAACTAACTGACCGACTAACTCGCTGAGCTGTCAGTCAAGTCGGAAGCAGGTTGCTGACTGTGTACAGTGATCAGGTGCCGAAAGCAGACATGTCCTTCTGAGGCAGTGTTTCCCAACTGTGGCCAGAATAAACGTGTTTAGAAGTATGAATTCCTAAGCTCAGACCCCCAGAGATTTTCATCAGCAGATCTGGATAAGGAGCAGGGGAGAGGGGAAGGGGATGGGTGGATGAGTGGGTGGATGGATGGATGACGAATGGATGAGTGGATAAGTGGATGGGTGAGTGGATGAATGATGGATGGGTGGGTGAGTGGGTGGGTGTTGGATGGATGATGGTGGATGAGTAGATGTGTGGATGGATGGTAATGGATGAATGGATGGGTAGGTGAGTGGGTGGGTAGGTGGATGAATGGGTAGGTAAATGAATGACGGGTGGATGGATGAGTGTATGGATGGTGGGTGGGTGGATGGGTGGAGATGGAGAGATGAGTGGATGAGTAAATAGAGGCTGGGTGGATGAGCTGACTGGTGGGCAGGTGGGTAGGTGGGTGAGTAGGTAAATGGGTAGATAGGTGGGTGGATGGATGGATCAATAATAGAAAACATACAGTCCTTCCTTCTTTCCTTTCTTCCTTCTTCAAGATGCAGATCATGACAGGTAGGCATGAACTCCCCTCTGTGCCCCTCCCCAAGAATCAGTGTGCTCCCAAACCTGCTTCTACACACACACACACACACAGCACAGCGCTGCACTGTGCCTTCTATAAAACCACACCAAGTCCCCACCACAGAGGGCACCGCACTGTTGGCCTGTGTCACCCCACAGCACCCCTCCAGCTCACCCATGCTGCTCTTGGGTGCAGGCAAGGGAGCTTTCTCCATAAGGGGCAGACAGTCAGCAGCGTGAGGTTCGTGGGCACTGCTGGTCTCCGTCCTTGTTCACACTTTGTTGTTGTCTCGTCTCTTACTCCCCTTCACAAAGGAACAACCCTGCTTCACCAGCACGGCTGTGGACCAGGCCTGGCCCTCTCACCCTGAGTGCTGGAGTAGCCCACCATGTGGGTAGACCCACACACACCCGGGGCGGGCCCCGGGAACCACTTGCTGCCAGAACCACCTGCAACTCTGTTCTCCACCCGTTCCCAGTGAGCACTGCTCAGAGTCCTAAGGGTGGCAGCCACCCTCACACAGGTCTGCATGCCTGAAGGGGGCAGTGCAAGGCAACTGGGCTGGGTGTGTGAGTGTGGGTGTTGTGCTGTGCCATCTCTTTTGTGTGTGTTGTGTAAGTCTGTTCATGCTATGTGTGAGTGTGGTATGTATTGTGTGAGTGAGCATTGTGTGCAATATGTACATGTGTGTGTTGTGCGTGCACGTGTGAAAGTACGCGCACACGTGTGTGCGTGTGCATGCACGTGTGTGCACATATGTGTGCGTGCGTGTCTGAATGTGTGTGCATGTGTGTGCATGCACGTGTCTGTGTGTATGTGTGTGTGCCTGTGTGTGTGCGTATGTGGGCACATAAAGAGAATGCTTTGCCTCATCACACCCTGCGCTGCAGAAGCCCCATCACATGACAGAGGACCCGGCTCCCTGTGAAGAGCCGGGTTCTGCAGCATGTCCCCCTCAGGAGCTACTTGTAGGTAGGTAGGCAGGAGAGTGGAAAACACCAGTGTCCCTGGGGCCCACTTATCCCAACCGACTCCCGGGTGCCCCTGCCTCCTGAGTCAGCAGCCTAGGACACAGGTTGCGTGTCTGTACATCTGTCTAGCATGCACACATCTGCTCCGACCATCCGTGGTGCAGCGTGATGACACAGAGGTGGCAGCGTCCCTCTGACATGGAGCTGGGCTTGCTCCGGCCTGTAGCCCTGGCCTCCAGGCGGCAGAGCAGCAGGGTCCCAAGCTTGCTCACACCTGTCTCACGCCTTTACCTGAACATACTAAGCTATGCACGGCTCATGCACGTCCAAGAACCTCAGAGCAAACACCCAGGTGGCAGGAGCACACAGGCACGGTAATGTGATGTTGCCAGGGGATGCCAGGGATGCAAGGAAGCGGGGCTACATACTGAAGGAGAGACGGGCTGGTTTTGAACAAACACACAACCTAGAGCCGGACTTCGGGGTAAGATGTCATCCCCACTCAGCCCTGGTCCTTAAAAGAATTCTGGGATCCAGTAAGCAAGCTGACTGAGTCAGTTTGGTGTTTCTTTAATGCAGAGATCCCACACTAAGGCACACAGGCCAGATCCGGCCCACCGCCTGATTTTTGTCAATAAAGTTTTATTGAAATGCAGCCAGGCCCGCTCATCTCTTCATTATCCTTGGCCACCTTCTGCTCCAACTGCAGAGTTGAGTAGCTGCAACAGACTGGCCCAATGAGTCCCAAATATTTATTCTTGACACTATTGCCAGCTCCTGCTTTGCCGCATCATACTGAAAACTGCAGCGTGGCACACAAGCAATCGCAGCCCAACAAACGCCCGGCTGCCTCTGCCTCAAGTAGCACTCAGGTCCAAGTAGCCCAGCCTGCACCTGCAGTGCATCACAGAGACTATATCTCCTCCACGGGTCTAGTGATGCCACCTGCTTTGCAGGTGAGAAAGTGCACGGTTACCTGTGTCCTGAGGCGTGTAAGAGATAAGGCCAGCATTCCACACTTGGCTTCCTCCTGTGTGGGAAAAGGTCACAGAAACTTTCCCACGTCTTGGTGTAACCCACTGCCATGGAGTCTCTGCCAACTAGGAGCGACCCTAGAGATCAGAGTGGATTTGGTCCCTGGGGTTTCCGAGACTGTACATGCTCTCGCGGGAGGAGACTGCCTCATCTTTCTCCCTTGGATCGGCCGGTGGATTCAAACTGCTGACCTTGCAGTCAGCAGACCCACAAGCAACCCACTGTGCCACCTGGGCCCCTGACCTCTGAGCTATGGCAGGCTCAGTTCCAGGTCACTGTGGGTCTCACAAGAAGATGTGTGCTCCCACTGCTTAGAAGAGCACACGACTGTGCTGTACACACAGAGCCCTGGTGGCTTAGTGGGTGATGCATTGGGCTGCTAACAACAAGGTCAGCGGTTTGAAACCACCAGCCACTCTGTGGGAGGAAGATGAGACTTTCTATGCCCAGAAAGTGTTACAGACTTGTACCAAGAACTAGAAGAAATTATAGCTGAAGGCATATTATAAAGTGAGAAGATTTTGAAAAAGAGGAGCAGGATGGCCTGTTGTAAATATTTGGGATACTATGAATATATAGTCATAGGGTAAAAGTTGTAATGACATCATCCAGCAGCAATTTTGCAACCAGGTCCAAAGACATTTTGGTGTCCCAAGCTCTTCCTGGATTTGTGGGTCTTCCTGTGCTTCAGTCAAACAACAAATCACACAGAGTAAATGTATAAGGCAGCGGTTCTCAACCTGTGGGTGGTTGGGTGTGTGTGTGTGCGTGTGTGTACATGTGTGCGTGGGGTGGAATGACCCTTTCACAGGGGTCGCCCAATTCATAACAATATCAAAATGACAGTGATGAAGTAGCAACAAAAATAATTTTATGGTTGGGGGGGGTCACCACCACATGAGGAACTGTATGAAAGGTCGCAGCATTGGGAAGGTTGAGAAACACTGACATGAGAGAATCCCACTAACACATTAAACTGAACATTACAGAGATTTACAGAAAGGTAAAACGATATCACTCTTTCCATTAATTTTGTTGGGAAAAAATCTTTTTCATGAAAAGTATATTTGTATTTGTTAATAGCTATCTGTTAATAAGTTTATTTTATTATTAAGTATGTTTTTCTCAGGAAAAAGAGTACCAGACTCGGAAGCCCACAGGGCAGTTCTCCCGTCCGGTAGGGTCTGTGGCTGGGACTGGGCATCGCTCACTCGATGGCAGTGAGCTTCCTTCTACTTGGGGAGCGCAGGATGTGCCCCAAGGCGTGATGCAGAAGTGTGAGCTATGGGGAGGATGACCAAACTGGGACTGGGGACAGGAAGTCAGGACAGACTGTGGGGCGATCGGTGCCCAAAGATTTGCTGGACGCAGGGCCACCCCTGACCTTCCGTTTGTTCAAGATCCAGCAGCTGGGGAGCCCAGTAAGCTGCATGCTCGCTCCGATGGCTTTATTTCCCCCCAGAAGAATACTGAGGTAGCTGAGCTGCCTTCTTCGACATCGAGAACAGAGGACAGGAAATAAAAGGCCTTGCCAGCAAGGAACACCATGGAAGAAAGGGTGCCTCTGCCAGTCTTGTTTAACTTGTACTGCCCACACAACCGCCCTGCCCACGCAGTCGGGTCCATCCCCGCTTAACCTGACCCTGTAGGACAGAGCCCAACTGCTCCGACGTTTCCCAGGCTGTTTGTCGTCTCTAGGGAAGCAGACGGGCCGTCTCCCAGGGAGCAGCTGGTGGGAGACCTTTCGCTTAGCAGCTGAGCACTTTCACCACTGTCCCGCAGAGCTCCTCTCTCAGCGATACCAGGGATAGCCCTCCCCAGGACCTGGAAATACCAGCAGCCTGGAAATACCATGGAAACACGTGGAAAGACCATGGCGGACAGGTTTCAGCTGAGCTCCTGGACGAACACAGACGTGTAAGAAAGGCCAGGTGATCTACTTATGAGAATGAGTCCATGAAAGCCTTATAGACAGACAGAGGGAGGGCCTGCGGGCACCTCGGTTCCTAACTGAGAGGTTGGCGGTCCGAGCTCCCGGCCACAGCTCAGCTCCCGTGGACTCACAGCCTAGAGAAGCCGACAGGGCCGTGCAACTCGATCACACGAGGCTGCGGTGAGTTGGCAACCAACCCAGTGGCAGCCACTGAGGCAAGCGAAGACAGCGCGGGAGCCGGCAGTACCACACAGTGTTGCACACACACAGGGTCACAACAGACGACGACTCCAACAACCACAAGGAGAGGAGGATAGAGTCCCTGAGCTCTGGGGTCTGAGGCACCGCCTCCAGGTCCGTCCCCCCCTTCCAGCTGACAGAGAAGGGTCTCTAACAGAGAATCACGCCCCCGGGGGCCGAAATGAGAACCCTCCCTGTCACTCACTCGCTGCCATTGAGTTGCTGTAGGACCCTGTAGGACCGGGTAGAACTGCCCTGTGGGTTTCTAAAACTGTACCCCTTTCTGGGTGTCGTAAGCCTTGTCTTTGTCCCGCATGGCTGTTGGTTTCAAACTACTGACCCTGAAGAACCCAGCCGAACTCATAACCACGGCACGGTCACCAGGTACACGTGCACTTCACCGTCCTGAACACCGCCGCTGGAATGATTAGAGGCATGCCTTTGCACAGACGCAGAGATCCCTACTCCTCACTTACTGGCCCGCTCGTTCTCCCGTGTTTCACGTTGACAACTTGGGAAAGATTCTCAGGCGGCACCGCAGATGGCAGCCCCCAATGTGCTAGCACCTGTTCACGTGCCCAGGAAGGAAGCCCATTGAGATGGGGAAAGTCCCAGTCCCCGCCGTCCCATTTTCCCCGGTTATGAAAGAAGAAATCTCCTCTGTTCTCCGTCCAGAACTTACTAATGTTGGTGCTGCTGCTGTTGTTGTGTCTGCAAGTCCGGTCGGACGCAGAGACCCCGTGTCCCACAGAACTCAGTGTGGTCCAGTCCTGCCCACCGCAGTCGCGCTCTGTTTGAGCCCCTGGTGGCAGCCCCTGTCCACCAATCTCCTCGATGGTCCTCCTCTCTTTCGCGGACCTTCCACTCTCCCCAAGAGTGGAGTCCTTCTCCTGGGACTGGTCTCTCCTGAGGCCAGGCCCGCAGTGCCTCCACCTTTAGTAACTTACTTAACCTGCGATTCTACACCTACGTGTTGCGGAACTCGCTGAAACCATTCCTTGCACTACCATAATTGTGTGTTCACAATCAGTCCATTTGCTGCAGGCTGTGTTGACACGATGGGATAGTATGATGTTGTGCAAAACATCCTTCTGTGTCTAAGAACTACATGCCCAAAGCCTGATCGGAGCAGGTACTCCCCGCCAAGGACTGCATGTAGACACGGAAAGGCTGCATGGAAGGTTGGGTAGGTGTCACCGTGAAACAGAGGTCCCGGAGGAATAGGGTACCAGGTGCACCTGGGACAACAGGTGCAGGCTTCCTGGAAGCAGGAAATCCGCTGTGCCTTAAAGAAAGAGGTGTGAGTGGTTATAGACCCTAAAGTCACTACATGGTTGGGGAGGTGGGGGGGTGCAGATCCTGAAGTCACTACATGGTTGTGGGGGGGTGGGGTGGTAATAATATCCCATCACGCTCCTGGCAGAAGTTTACAGAGTAAATTCGTTTCCCATCTGACCGTTTCTGTCCGACTTGTTCAGAGGCGTGAGTTGGATTTCTCACCAGCAGTCAGCTGGCATTGTCTCCACCTACTCCACATCGGCTACTCGGGAGTCCCTGCACCTCCTCTTCTCGTCTTTGCTCGGAGTCATGGGGACCTTCGGTCTCACATAGGTCTTTCAGCACCATCTTTTCTGAGCCACCGTCGCTCTTCCCGTGCTGTGCCATCCTGTTCCTTTCCTAAAAGGTGGTCTCTGGAGCAAGGTTCCGGTGCAAGGTTTCAAAAAGCTCAGGAAGAAGTCCTCCTGTCCCCATTGGTCCAGCAACGGTGGTAGACTCTAATAATCTGAGTTCCATTCCATGTTTTCGCCCCTCTCATTCTATCAAGGTGCATGTACTGGGGCTCTGATCACAACAGTCGGAAGTGGGAGCCGGGCAGGTCTTCTGGTCTCAGGGTGGACGAGCCCAGGCGTCAAGCAGCTTTTCAGACCCTTCAACGTTGGCTTCCTCCTCGTGCTAAGTTCGAAAGCTCCTCCCCCTTAGGAAAATGAGTTCTTGGTTGGTGCCCTGGGTCGGATCAGAGGGTTTGAAACCTCAGCCATCCATGGCCCATGCTCGGGCCTGGCCTTGCTGTGGGTGCTAAGTGCAGTACCCCCAGAGTGCAGCAGTGTGCCCCAGGCGTGACCCTCCCAACCTCACTGTGCCTTTCTTTCCCACCCAGGTCTGTGAGCACTCCTGACAGCAGCAGCTTGACTACCGAGTTTCCATAGCAACGGGGGAGCGTGGGGGAGTGGAAACACACGCGAGTACACACACGCACACACACACACATGCACACACACCCTCGTCCAATCTGAAGACCTCCGTGTACAGTGATGGAACTTCCCAACAGGCTGCCCTCGACCCGTATCTTCATTTCCTTTGCCACTTCACCCAGCCTGTCCGGTGTCGGCGTTCCGCAGCACCCACCTCCCTCCTTTCGTCACTGGAGTCCTCTGGGTTTCCCCCGGATGGGGACAGATGGTGACAAAGAACTGGGCCTCCCAGGAGCAGGGACAGCCTCGCATCCTCGGATGCACCAACTGGAAACTCTGCCTGGGGGTCCGCGTCTGTGTGTTGGTGGGAGTGTCTGTGGAGCAGAGACACCGCGTATTAGGGGGAAGGGGCAGGGGAAGAGCCTGAAGCTACGGTGCCATGCTTCCTCCGGAGGTTACAAAGAGGAGGGACCCTCCTTGGGGGGATGGTCTCACCATCAAATGCAGCCCACCCAGCTGCCTCTTCCCCCTGCAGTTTTTCCACATCCCACCCCACCCCTCAACCCCGTCACTGTCACGCCAGCCAGGCTGGTCCCAAAGGGAGAGATGAGAGAAGTCTAGGGGGCTCCACGGTGGAGTTCCCCGGCTGCCCAGTGTCCTGATCCACACCAGGGGGTGGCAGAGGAGCAGAGCATGCCATCATGCCCCCAGATGCCACGAAAAGGGCTCACTGTCCCTTCCTGGCCATCAACCTGACACTTGTAGACTGCCCTGAACCCACAAGTTCAAAGCTGCACCTTGGCTTTCACCGTGGGTCTGTAGACAACTGCCTACATCATCTCAGACAGGAAGAGGCCAACAGGCATCACCCTGGAGACACAAAGAGACCTACCTGTACAGACATACATATATATACAAGCGCACACACGCCGCGCTCACACACACAGTCTGCCCCCTATGTACACACATAAAAGAGATTAAATGCAGGTAGTTCAAACAAAATAGTAAACGTGTATGAATCGACTGCCATCTTTGGCCAAGTGCGCTCACTGGGGATGGGGGAGGCCTTGCCTTCTGTGCCATGAGCGTGTCCACAGGGAGGAGGGGGTGAGTGCTCCTACCAGGAGCACCTTCCCGTGGAGAACCTGGGCACACAGCAGCACCCCAGCTCACACCAAACTTTTCTATGGAATTCTGCTCGTGAGAACCTGCAGCTTTGTCATGCGGCTTGCCATGACCTGGGTGGGGTAAGGTAAGTGTCTTAGCATATTTTAATGCAGTTGCTTACTAAAGGTTTTAACCCCTGCCACCCCTCCCCCTGCACGTGGGTGCACCTGCGTGCCCCCCCACGCCCACACACATGCTTCCTTATGCAATCTCTTTTCGCACCCGTGCTTGTTCGGTTGGCCTTCTGTAGGGAGTAGAGTCACCTGTTGTCTTTCCTGTAATGACATTATGCGGATGGAGTCCCACATATTGTATTTGTTTCCGGTAGTAAAATCTTTTGGGGAGCATACAGACTGTGGCGAGTTGCTTTCTTTTCCATGACAATAACTGGGTGTCGGTGGTCCACACAGCTGACTGGCCTGTAGCTGCTCTCTGACCCTTCGTGCTGTGTCTCACGTGGCGGAGGCACCGTCCCCCAAATCCACACTTGGGGGGAACCATTCAGAGACCCCGCTAGTCTCCTGTGGGCTGTGTCCATACGGCCAGAAGCACCAGCTCACAGGACAGACTTTCTGTTCACCGACTCCCTCATCGGGACAGAGTGAGCACTCCCCCTGGGGCCCCTCCCTGTGTGATCACTCCCCCTGGAGCCCCACCCTGTGTGAGGCACCCCCCTCCCCATGCTCCCTCATTGAAGGTGTGAACACTCTCCCTGGGCTCCCATACTGGTATATATGAACACTCCCCCTGGGTCCTCTCCCTAAAAGGTGTGAGCATTCCCCCTGGGCTGCCTCCTTGGTATGGTGTGTGGACTCTCCCCGGGGTTATGTCCTCGCACCACACTTATTCCGTCCGCATGCTGAGCAGGTAAGCAGAGGAGTTGGCCCACATGAAGCAGAATGTAGCCTCAGGATGGGAGGAAGGTTTATTAACAACCTGTAATACGCCTGGCCCAGCCTTGCTGAGGACGAGGAGGGCTTGAAACGCTTGCTGGTGAAGATCAGGGATTGCAGCCTTCCGTCTGGACTATAGTTCTATGTAAAGAAGACCGAGAGCCTCATAAATGGACCAACAGGTAATATCATAATAAATGGGGGGTAAAGATCGACCTTGTCAAAGATTTCATCTGGCCAGCACCCCACATCCATGCTCATGGAAGCCGCAGGCCAGAGAGCGTTTGACGCATTGCACTGGGCACATCTGCTGCACAGACCTCTGTAAAGTGTTGAAGAGCAAGGCTGTCACCTTCAGAACTAAGGTGCCCTGATCCAAGCCCTGGTGTCCCCATCACCTCGTAAGGGTGTGAGCATTGGACAGCGCCATCTTCAGTGTCCTGCCATTGCTGCAGGCACTGTGTCCATCCATCGTGTCCAGGGCCTTCCTCTCTTCGGCCGCTCCTTCACTTCCCGAGCAGGATGTCCTCCTCCAGAGCCCGTCTCTCCCGACACCCGTGCCCAAAGTACATGAGAGGAAGCCTCACCCTCCTCGCCTCCAAGGAGCATGCTGTCTGCACTTCTGTCCACACAGATCTGTCTGTTCTTCTGGCCCTCCGGGGGATGGCTGTACGCCTCACCAGCACCACCAGTCAAAGGCATCGACCCTTCTTCCTTCTTCGTGAATCCTTGTTCACCGTCCAGCTTTTCCAAGCACACTGGGCTTGTAAGGTTGGGGGAGGGGGGGCCTGGTCCTCCGAATGACATCTTTGCTTGCTAACACTTTGAAGACAGTCTTGTGCAGCCAAGAGAAATCAGAAAAGTACCGTACAGGAATAAGCTTGCTTGTAATCAAACCATCTCCAACAGGTGAAAAGAGAATTACAACATGCAATTAACCTTAGAAAGAGCTAAAGTAAAAGTGGGGGTGAGGGGTGGGAAGAGGAGTGAAGACAGCTATGCCGCTTAACCCTTTCATGGTCAAATCCATAATGAGGGGTGGG